TTCATTGAAGTCTGTTTACCCGGATGTTTTTTAAGGTCACTGATTACAAATCCAATATTAGTTTTTCAAAATTCAAAGTACTGGAATTATTTTTTAATTTGATTGGATTTTCTCGAATCACGTTGCTAGTTGTAAAAAGAATTTATTTTCCTTTTTAATATAGAAGTTATAGGTTCTACAACAATTTTTCAGTTCAAATAATAATTTTTAGCATTATTAAATATTCGTTTTATATATCCCACGTCGAAAAATTACATGGAAGTACCCCTTGGAAATTCCATGGAATTTCCGTGGAGTTTGAATTAATTAATTAATTAATAAGTTACAAATGATTGCAGAAATTCAATTATTTTCAAAAGTACCTAATAAAATTCTTCGCTGAAATTCAATTATATTAAAAAAGTTTTAAAAATGCAGGTCAAAATTTCAATTATCTATAAAATAATAAAAATTCTTCTCCGAAATTCAATTATTTTCAAAAATTTTAATAAAATTCATAGACAAAATTTCAATTATTTAAAAAAATTTTCCTCAATTCAATCATTTTTAATATCTACTATTTTATAATAAAATTTTTCAAAATATTTCAATTATTTAAAAAAAGTGTTGATAAAATTTAAAGCAAATATTACAATTTTCAAAAATAATAAAATTTTTTACCGAGATTCAATTATTTTCATGAATAATAAAAGTCATCATAGAATTTTAATAATTTTTAATTCAATTTTAATCGAATTCCTCGAAAAATGTAATTATTCTTGAAAATTTTTTTTAAATTCGTCAAAAAAATTCAATTATTTAAAAATTTCTTGATAAAATTCTTTATGAGGATTCAATTTTGAAAAGCATTTATTTATTCAATAAATTATTTTTTTTGTATTTAAATAATTGAATTCTCGTAGAATTTTCTAATAAAAATTGATTTGAAAATGAATTTCAGTTAAAATTTTACATAATAATTGAATATTATAAGCATTATAGCATAAATTTACAAAAATAATTGAATTTTGAATATTTTTGAAAATAATTACATTTTTTGAAGAATTTACTTTAAATTGTATTAAAAATAATTAAAAACCTGTGAAGAATTTTATTATTTATGAAAATAGTTGAATTCTTGCAACGAATTTTTATTAACATTTTTTTAAAATAATTGAAATCTCATAAAGAATTGAATTATTTATGAAAATAAGTGAATTTTTGCAACGCATTTTATTACATTTTTTAAATAATTGAATTAATTTAAGAAATTTTATTAAAATAGTAGATTTTAAAAATATTTTAATTTCTATGGAATAATAATAATTATTAAATATTTATTTAAAAAAGAATTTTTTGATGTTTATGAATAATTTTAAAATTAAAAAATTTCTTTATTAAATGTTATAGAATAGTTTTTTGAATATCTAATCAGGGGAAATTTTGTAGGATTTTTGTTTTAATAATATTTTAACATTTTTATTATGATTAGAGTCTAATAATAAGCTTTGTTGCAATTTTTTTTTGCAAAATGCATATTTCATACAAGTTTTGCAAATAAATTGCAACAAAGCTTATTATCAGACTGTAATCATAATAGAAATGTTAAAATAATATTTAAATATAAAACTTGCATAATTTTCACGGAATCTCCATGAAAACAATTGTTATTATTCAATATTGATTTTGGACAAATGTTTACATGTAAATCAGCACTCTATCAATTCTCTTAGAATTGAGCTGATCAGTCGTGAAAGGGATCATATTTTGTATGTGTAACATGAATCTACAAACTCTAACTAGCAAATTTCGCCGAGTAGTTGTTTGTCACGTGACAGTCTCCCATTCGTATGCATTTTCTGTTCTATCCTATGAAACTTTATAACATGTCCAGTCCATTTTGCAGTGAGCATGTATCTCCTACAAAGGAGTTTTGCTATTCTGACCTTCACTGTGAGATGCATCAGAGGAACTCAGTCATCTGAGTCTCCCGAGAATTCAACTGTCTCAGATCAAAAGTTTCTTTTTGCAAAATAAAAATTTCAATTCAAAGACATTCGCAACTTTTTTTCTAAGTTAAATTAATTTTTTTCAAATATAGAAAGTATAATTGGAAATTAAATAAAAACGAGCTTACAAAATGGAAGAGAAAAAAGTAGCATTTCCAAAAAGGAGTTGTTACGTCCTGAATAAACGTGAACTGAGAAAAAAAATTATTTGATTCAATTAATTCAAATTATTTGAAATAATTTTTTTTTATTCAAATAATTTTTATTTAGATCTAATAAATATTTCTTTGCTTAAAATAACTTGAATTATTTGAATTACATTTATTTGAATCAAATTGTTGTCAAAATTTCAAGTATATTCAAAAATTTTCCTCAATTCAATTATTATTGTTAATTTCTACTATTTTAATAAAATTTTCGAAAAGAATTCAATTATTTAAAAAAAAATTGAAAAAAATCCTACGCAAACCTTTAATTATTTTCATAAAATAATAAAAATTTCATAGGAATTCAATTATTTACAAATTTTTTATAAATTTCTTCGCAATCATTTAATTATTTTCATAAATAATACAATTTTCAAGGAATTAAATTATTTTCGGAAGTAATAAAATTCTTCTTAGGAATTTAATTATTTTCATAAATAATAAAACTCATGGCAGAATTTCAATTATTTTTAAGACAATTTTAATCAAATTCCTTGAAGAATGTAATTATTCTAAAATTTTTTATTAAAATTCGTCAAAAGAATTCAATTATTTAAAAAGTTAACAAAATTCTATATAAGAATTGAATTTTAAGAAACATGTAATTAGTGAATAAATTGTTTTTTTTGTATTTAAATAATTGAATTCTAGTAGAATTTTTTAATAAAAATTGATTTTAGTTACAATTTTAGATTATAATTGAATATTAAAAGCATTAGAGCGTGAATTTTTAGAAATAATTGAATTTTAAAAAGGTTTCAAATTCAAATCTTTGAAAATCTGAATTTTTCATATTTCTAATTAACAATTCTGTGGAATTAATTTTTTTTCAAAAATTTCAATTGAATTATTTTTGAAATTATTTGAAGTTTTTATTTTCTAATATCGGAATAAGTTTTATTATTTGAAATTTCGTAAAATGGCATTTTTCTTAAAAATTGTATTAAAATTCGTCGAAAAAATTCTATTATTTAAAAATTTGTTGATAAAATTCTTTATAGGAATTGAATTTTAAGAAACTGTCAATAAATTAATTATAAAGTAAATAAATAAATAATAAAATAAATTATTCAATAAATTATTTATTTTTGTATTTAAACAATTGAATTCTTTGTAGAATTCTTTAATAAAAATTGATTTAAAAATTGATTTTAGTTACAATTTTAAATTACAATTGAATATTAAAAGTATTACAACGTGGATTTTTAGAAATAATTGAATTTTAAAAAGGTTTCAAATTAAATTTTTTGAAATTCTGAATTTTTCATATTTTTAACAAACAATTCTGTAAAATTAATTCTTTTGAAAAAGTTTAATTAAATTTTTTTAATTATTTCAAGTTTTTATTTTCTAATATTATATAATTAATAATTGAAAAATTTCCGAATAATTGAAATTTTGTAAAATTGAACTGTGAACAAATGAATTTGAAAATTCTCAAAGAACTTTTTAAAAAATTATTAAAAAATAATGGATTTATAGAATAATTTGAGTTAAAAACACTAGAAAAAAATTTTATTTTTGAGAAGTTAAAAATTATTGCATAAATTCAATTATTTTCAAGAGTAATAAAATTCTTTTTAAGGATTCAATTATTTTTCTAATAATGAAACTCATAGCAGAATTTCAATTATTTTTCATACAATTTTAATTGAATTCCTTGAAAAAAGGAATTATTTTCATGCAAGTTTTAATAAAATTCGACAAAAGAATTCAATTATTTAAAAATTTGTTGATAAACTTCTTTATGAGAATTCAATTTTGAGAAGCATTCAATTATTCAATAAATTATTTACGTTTGTATTTAAATAATGAAATTCTCGTAGAATTGTCTAATAAAAATTGATTTAAAAATAAATTACAGTTAAAATTTTAGATTATAATTGAATATTAAAAGTATTATAGCGTGAATTTTTAGAAGTAATTGAATTTTGAAATTGATTTTTTTGAAAAAGTTTAATTAAATTTTTTTTATATTATTTTGAGTTTTTATTCATTAATATAATATTTAATTCAAGAATTTACTAATAATTGAAATTTCGTAAAATTGAATATTACAATCAAATGGATTTGAAAATTGTCACAGAAATTTTTGGAAAATTATTAAAAATAATCGAAAATAATCAAGTCTTCGACTCGGATTTATCGTTATCTTCATGTTTTATAGTTATGAAAAATTTAATTTATAGTTTTAAATAAAATGTTGTTCTCTTATGTGACTCGGACTGGTTATATTTTTGTCAGTAATTGGTCCGTAAATGGTCCGTAATTTTTCATTTTTGGTCTGTAAAATTCGTATTTTTAAATACTTTCACTGGTTCGAGCCCTGCATTTAATGGAATCAAATAATTTTTATTTAATTTAAATAATTTTTTTCAGTGTAAAATGAGAGTGCAATTTTGAAAAGGATTCACTCTAAATCTAATTTTTGAAAAAATGGTTGTCTATTAATGAAAAAATAATTCTTTGGTATTCACGTGAATATAAACATGTATATTATCTGTAAAAATTATACGAACGTAACAGGATAAAAAGAAAAAACAAACATAAAAAAAATAACATTAAAAAAAAGTCCAGGGGACTAAATTTCCCTTTTAATATTAACAAATACCTGCACGTTGTAAAAATAAAAATATTTTCAAATGACTATATCTGTTTTAGATAATAATTAATCATAATTAATTGCAATTTTCTGGTTTCTTGGTTTGTCACAAACTTTTCTCATAAGTTATGATAAGGAGACGAGTGCAGTGGTTATCTGACTAAGATATTTCGTACGTTAATAGAGTGTCTCACTAATTTACAGACCGTAACGGAGCGGTGCTGAAATCAACATGAATTATGGATCAAATTAACGCAAGCGTCTTTAGAGGATAAACCTTAGACTAACCAGGGTCCAGTCATTCATCAGAAAATCGATCTGGACCACTCTCACCCTTCGACTAAAGTACGAGTTGGGTAAGTTCATCTAATTTTACCAAACCTTCATTGTGAAATTTATACATATATTTTCGCTTACACGTGATAAAAGTTTTTTTCCCTATAGGATGTTGAATTTATTAACATAATTTTAAAGTTTAATTCCCTACTCTGAGAGGGGCTATAAAAAATATTTTCTCATGTTCTCATAAATTTTTGATAGTAGTTAAATTTTTTTTTATTGGTATAATATTTAAACAAATTTAATTACAAAAATTTTTTTCAATTTAATACAAAATTGAAATTTTGTAAAATTCCCCTAGAAATTTATTTCCATATATATTTGTTAATTCATGCATTAATAATTGATGTTTATTATGTTAACATTCAATTAATTGGACGATTTTAAATTCATATTATTGTAATAAAACAGTAATGAAATACCACATGTTTAATGGACCCTCGAGCCACAGTAGTTATAGACCGTTTTGGTCAGCCACAACTGATCGAAACTATTTCACCAATATATAACCACACCCGATTTACCTCTTGAGTTGAAGATTTATTTTATTTATTAATAAAAAATAGCAATTAATTAATTGACGCAGTTAATTGCTTTATTTAGGTTTATTTTCTTTTTATAATTTTTATTAAATTTCAAATGTAAAAAAATTTTTTAAATGGACCATTACGTTACCTATTTTGAAATTTATAAAAATGTTACGTTACGTCTAAATATAGGTCAATTTTGACCTATTTTCTAACTTATAGGTGAAAAATTTACACTAGGTAAAAATTTAGGTCGAAATTTAGGTCAAATTTGATCGATTTTTTAATGTACGCGTCAAAAAAGCTATGAGGGATAGCCATGAGGGCTATATTCAAGGGATTGTTAAATTTTACCTATTTTTTGACCTAGAAGTAAAGTGTGGCTTTGATACAACAAATTTCGATTTACAGGTAAGTGGATGTAAAGTTATTTCAAAATTTACGAGTTAAGGATTTTTAAGTTACAGAAAAATTTATCTCAAAGATAAGTGTAATCTTTATCTATAGGTAATAAGTAGTCCGGTAATCTGTTCACAGTTTGAAATTAGTTGTTGTTTGTTTTTTTTTTCTTAACTTTTTAAAAATTTTCATTTTTAAAATTATTATATTGAAAATCATCGAATTGTTTCAAAGAATTTTATCAAAAAATTTAATAATAATAAAATTCCTTCGAAGAATTTTGTTATAAAAATTATAGAAAATAATTATATTGGTTCGCAGGGCTCGGCTTGTGCGACTTTATCGACTTTTTTGTGAAAAAATGCGACTAATCGACTTTTTCGAACTTTTTTTTAGTAAAATGCGACTTTTTCAAAGGAAAAAGTTTGAGTCAAAAAAATGTTCTGTTACATTTATTTACAAATTTCTTTCAAATTTTTCGAAAACATCAATAACTTCTTTTTTAAATAAATATTTAATTATTATTTTTCCATAGGAATTAAAATTTTTCAAAAGATTCAAATTCAAACCTTTTTGAAATTAAACAAGTTATAAAAAATTGTTATAAAACATGAAGAAATCGATCACTCCAAGTCTTCGACTCGGAGCAATCGATGTCTTTATGTTTTATAATAATTAAAGAGGATCGAGTGTTAAAATCATTATTTTTATATTATAAGACTAAAAAAAAATTTTTTTAATTATTTTTTATGAAAATAATTGAATTATTGGGAAGAAATTTATAAGAAATTAGTAAATAATTGAATTTTGCAGAAGAATTTTGATATTTACAAAGATAATTGAAATTTTGAGGAGAATTTAAAAAAAATTTTTGAAAATAATTTGATTTCTGCCAAGAATTTTTTTACTTTTGAAGATATTTGAATTTTGCAAAGAATTTTATCAGAACTTTTGAAAATAATTAAATTTCCAGGATTAATTTTATTATTTATGAAAATAATTAAAATTTTGACAAGAAATTAAAAAAAAAATTAAAAATAATTGAATTTCTAGGATGATTTTTATTATTTATAAAGATAATTTAAATTTTGACAAGAATTTTATTAAAATTTTTGCAAATAATTGAATTTTAGAGAAGAATTTTATTACTCTCAAAGATAATTGAAATTTTGAACAGATTTTTTTTAAAATGTTTAAAAGTAATTGAATTATAGCAGAAGAATTTTGATATTTATAAACATAATTGAAATTTTGAGAAGAATTTAAAAATAATTTTGAAATTAATTTAATTTCTGCCAAGAATTTTCTTACTTCTGAAGATAATTGAATTTTGCAATGAATTTTGGCAGAACTTTTGAAAATAATTAAATTTCCAGAATGAATTCTATTATTTATGAAGATAATGATAATTTTGACGAGAAATTTAAAGAAAATTTTGAAAATAATTGAATTTCTGCGAAGAATTTTATTACTTTCGAAAATAATTGAATTTCTAGAATGAATTTTTATTATTTATAAAGGTAATTTAAATTTTGACAAGAATTTTATTAAAATTTTTGCAAATAATTGAATTTCTGCGAAGAATTTTATTACTTTTGAAAATAATAATTGAATTTCAGAGAAGAATTTTATTAAAATTTTTTTAAATATAATTGAATTTCGGAGAAGAATTTTATTATTTATAAAAATAATTTATATTTTAAAGAGAGTTTTTTAAAAAATTGTTAAAAATACCTTATTAAAATTTTGCTATGAATTTTATTATATTTTTTAAATTTTATTCCGGATTGTTTGATATTAATGTATCTGTTGTCGAGAAATGTGATTTTTTTACAATTTTGTGTTTTCTTTTTGTCGTTTTTTTCTAAGATTTCATGTGACTTTTATTTCGACTTTTTCGGAAATTTTATGCGACTTTTCGTGACTTTTGTTCTAAATTTATGCGACTAAAGCGATTTTTTTTTGAGTCTTAAAGACGATCCGAGCCCTGGGTTTGTGAAATATTAAAATTTTGTTTATAAATAATTGAATTTTTCCACAAAAATTTTACTATTTATAAAAATAATTGATTTTTTAGGAAGAATGTCATTATTTATGAAAATAATTAAATTATTTTGAAGAATTTTATTAAAATTTTTGAAACTTATAAACAAAAATAATTAATTAATAAATTAGTTAAGAGAATTTAATTTTTTTTAAGTTTGAACCTGAAATTATTAAAAAATTCATCAATGGCTTGAATAAGATAACAAAATGTAGAATTCAAGCTTTAATTTAAAAAAAAATTTACTCAAACCAAATTAATACCAAAAGTATGTAATTATACTTTTATAATATAATATTTATAATTTTAATTAAATAAATGAAGTATAATATAAGTACAGAAACAAGATATGCGTAAATTATAACGGTCAATTAAATATTAATTACTTTTAATGATATCAATTGTTGGTATTTTCAATACGTAAAGTTTAAGATAGATTTTTAGCAATGTAGTTATTAATAATTGTTAATCATTATTTTTAATATTAATTATATTATTAATTAAATTCTCTTTTATTTTTAAACGAAAAAATTTAACATAAATTGACAAATTTCCAAGAGCTTAAATTCTATTTTCAAGTTTAGAGTAAATTGTTAAAATTATTCTTCTAATGACTTTTAGAAGTACTGAAAGGTTTATAAAGTGTAGTTTGGAGGTTGTGCCTGGACCATTAATATCAGAATTATTAGTTTTGCTCTCCAAAGGCGCGTCTATGGTGTGGATTGGGGACATGGTTCTCCAGGCATTACTTCTAGTCATTGAGGGAGAAGGGTTGGTTGAGTAGTTATTATTTTGGCCCAACGCCAATTGTGCTTCTTCTTTGTCTCTTTAACCCCTGTCGTCCTTACTTAAATCCAATGTATAGTTCTAAGCAGTTAATTTGCCAAATATTCATATTGTCTGTGCACTTTTATTTAACTTAAAATATAATTTTAATATAAACCACCTATTCTTAGACTCGATAATAATAATCAATGCTGAATTTTTTTTTTACATTATTTTAATCGATGACAATTGAAATGAATTTTTATTGGTTAAATAAAAATGAATTTTATTGTGTGCGTCTGACTAAAAAGATCTTTTACTACTGTTTCTAAATTTATTACAGTAAAGGAACATTCATTTTACATTTGGAAGTAATAAGTGATCAGTAATAATTTTAATGCTCTTGTTTATGAAAAGAAAAATAAATTTTCCAAAATGTGTCAAACTATGTCTGACTTAATAGGGTTTCCACTACTTAAAATTGGAACTTTTTTATAATTTTTGTGAATTTGTATATGATTTATATTTTATAGAAATATTCTCGATAGCTATGGATTTTTGTACTTAAAATCTTAAATACGAAAATTTCCTTTTGTGTCTGACTAAAACGAATTTTCACTACTGATTTCATGTTTTATTTAAAAAATACGAATTAACTTCTCCAGGTAATTACGAAATACTATGAAAAAATGTTTTTGATTCTTTTTTAATAAGAATTTATTCACTAAAGAATATCACATGATGTCTGACTAAACGTGGTTTCTACTACTTAATGTTAAAATTGGACTTTTTCTCATTTTTGAAAATTTCTAGTGTCCTTTAAAACTTTCAAGGCTCCTTCACCTTCTTATTGTTAAAAATGTATATATACATAAAATTCTCCTCTGCCTGTATACGATACTTCGAGCTCCTTTTTTACTTGCCTTTCTTCGTTTACCTTATAGTCAGTTAGATGTAGTATCCGTTGCTATGACAACAAGTTTAATAATAAAGTATTTGTCAAGATTTCCTCTCGAGTAAATCTGGACTTTTCCACGATCTTCTTTGTCAAATCCAATGCATCCTTTTCTGTTCAATATTTTATATTATTTTCTCTTGTTTTACGTTTTAGTTTTCTATTCTGGTTAATCATCCGGTGTTCTTCTAATTTTAGAGAAATTTTCGATTCAAAAATATTTCTCAAAATTTTTTTTTATCAAATGGAACAAAGCACACTGTAGTAGATTTGACTTTTTTTTCATGAAAAATTATAATCCCTAATTAGAAAGTTCTGAAATTAAAT